ACCTTCGTGTGTTTGGGTGTGCCTGTTACCCTAACCTCTCAGCTACTCGTGATCATAAACTTAGCCCTCGTTCCATACGCTGCGTTTTTCTTGGCTACCCCGCCAACTATCGGGGTTATCGTTGTCTTGATCCCACCACCGGCAAAATTCATCTATCTCGTCATGTCACGTTTGACGAAACCGTTTTTCCATTTGCCACTCCTACCTCTACCACCTCCCATGACTACCGGTTCTTATCATCTGACACCAACCTTCCTTCAACAATCCACCACTTCCAACCATCCTCACCCTCGCCACCACCACCCCCTCCTACATCGCCTACACCCTCCACCTCATCTACGCCACCGTCACCCCATTCCCCCCCGTCTCACACTGAACCCACTCACTCGCCATCTTCTGATTCCACTTCCACTCACTCGACGCCATCACCATCTCCATCACCGCCACTTCCCGTTCTCCCTCACCCCATGACGACTCGGTCTCGTCTTGGCACCCTCAAACCCACACAACGTCTAAACCTTCACACCTCTACTATTTCTCCGCTTCCTAAAAACCCCCACCTAGCCCTTCTCGACCCTAACTGGAATCATGCTATGAAGGATGAATATAAAGCTTTATGTGACAATGACACATGGGAATTGGTCCCTAAACCGCCTGATGCCCATATTATTAGATGCTTGTGGCTTTATCGCCACAAATTCCACGCGGATGGCACTTTAGCTCGATACAAAGCTAGACTTGTGGTTAATGGTAAATCTCAGCAGGTTGGCATTGATTGTGATGAAACGTTCAGCCCAGTTGTTAAACCTACTACCATCCGTACCGTGCTCACACTTGCTGTTTCCCGATCGTGGTCAATTCATCAACTTGATGTTAAAAATGCGTTTCTTCACGGCAACTTGGCGGAAACTGTTTATATGCATCAACCTCCCGGTTTTATCGATCGACATCACCCTGAGTTTGTGTGCAGGTTACGAAAATCATTGTATGGTCTTAAGCAGGCCCCACGCGCTTGGTACCATCGCTTTGCTACCTTTATTACATCTACGGGTTTCAAGAGTGCCGCATCCGATACATCGCTTTTTGTCTATCGCAAGGGGAACAACATTGCTTACTTATTGTTATATGTCGATGACATTATTCTCACGGCCTCTACCGATACCTTTCTCCACTCAGTCATCAATACTCTTTCAAAGGAATTTGCAATGACTGACTTGGGGAGATTACATCATTTTCTTGGTATACAGGTGACTCATACAGATCGTGGCATTTTTTTGTCTCAATCGCAATATGTGAATTCTATTCTTGAGCGGGCTAACATGACGGGCTGTAACTCTGTGGCCACACCAGTTGATACCACGTCCAAGCTCAGTGCCACTGCCGGGGAGCCATTGAAAGATGATACTCTTTACCGTAGTCTCGCCGGTGCTCTTCAATATCTCACCTTCACACGACCGGATATCACATATGCCGTGCAACAAGTTTGTCTATTCATGCATGCACCCAGAGAACCCCACTTTAACTTCCTCAAACGGATACTCCGGTACATTAAAGGGACTTCGGATCATGGCCTGCACATTCTTAAGTCCCCCAACCTTCGAATCACGGCGTATTCTGACGCTGACTGGGGGGGATGTCCTGATTCTCGTAGATCAACCTCGGGGTATTGTGTCTTTCTGGGGGACAATCTCGTCTCCTGGTCCTCTAAACGACAACCAACTGTCTCACGTTCAAGTGCCGAGGCGGAATACAAGGGTGTTGCTAACGCCACAKCTGAAACTAGTTGGCTCAGAAATTTRCTTCTCGAGCTCCATGTACCGGTCACCAAAGCCATGCTCGTATACTGTGATAATATTTCYGCTGTRTATCTGTCTGATAACCCGGTGCAACACYAGCRAACTAAACATGTTGAGATAGATATCCATTTTGTTCGAGAGCTCGTCAAAATCGGTCGAATTCGAGTGATTCATGTGCCCACTGAACATCAGTATGCCGATATCTTTACTAAGGGTCTTCCACGACAGCTGTTTCAGCGCTTCCGCTCCAGTTTATGCATCCGCTCTCCTCCTGCTTCAACTGCCGGGGAGTATTAGACCGTATATATTGTTATTATTATTGTATATTTCTTCCATATTTACACTCTTGTATTTTAGGATAGTTGGCTATTATACTTGTATATATTCTATGGATGTTTGCTAATGAATCACGGATTCTTTTGCCAATCTTTATGTACAAGTGTGTTATGATTTGAGTGTGGTAGTAAGATTAAGATGCTCTTGTGAAGAATGTTTGGTTATAAAAATATAAGAAATGAAAAATAACAATGACAAAAGATTGTATTTATTGGTCTCACATTTCTCATTTTCCCTAAAACAAGCCTGAATTTCATTTACTTTATGTCCTACAACACTTTCTTGTTTCATTTGTTTTATGACTATTTACGAACTAGTTATATGATTTAGATTTCCAATTTTTCTTGAAAACCTAAACAATGTCAAGAATCATCTCGATTTGACTTATAAGCCCAGAGTTATCCCCCAAAGTTTACTATGAACAATGGTTGCAAAATTGTTTACTAACACTTACGATGACCTATTTTACAAAAAATTACCATCTTATAGATATTGAGAAAATAAACAAAATGATGATTACGGTCCAAAAAACGAATCAAGATACAGATAAGAATGATGATAATAAGCAATTAAGGGACGATCGATGAGATATTTGTATTTGTATTCAGATATTAACACTTCACATTGTGACACTTAACTTTGTGTTTATTATTGATATTTGTCTTTTTAAATGTCGATCTATATTACAATTAGTACAAAAATTCTAAATCACATTTATAATAGAATTGGGAAAAAGACAACCTAAAAAAACATCCAAAAAGGAAAATTAAAGAAGATGTCTACAACTTTGACAATCGTCTCTACATGCTATTCTCGGATAACTAAGAGCGTTACTTATAGAGACGATATGTCGTCGCTAAGTTACTTTTTTTATTTTATGATATTGGCCTATATTGCGATGACATGTCATATCTATAAGACATTGCAGTTATGGATGCTTGTCATCCTATACGTTTTTCAGATACTAACTAAATAGTATTACACCTGCAACGATACTTTGAATTTTAGCGACGACGTTTGTCATCACTATAATCCATGTGTATTGCAGAACAATCAAATCCAATTAACTTTGAACAAACAATCCAATAAAATCTGGTAGATGAGAGAATTGGATCGGTTCTATTCACCGGATATTATAATTGATTATTTGTTCGGTCAAATTAGATGTATCCCACTTATTTCAAATATCTAACTCAAGAACACAACTCACTCTCTATCTCTCTATCTCTTTATATATAAATATATATATATATATATATATATATATAGATATATGTATATGCGAAGATTCAAATGAGAATACCCTTGTTTATGAAAATACGAGACTACTTCGGGGCCTACAAATTAATTTACCCATAATAAAAGTAGAATAAACAAAAATAAATTAGTATTTATCAACAATTTTATGTTATATTAT